GAGATATTGCTGCAGCAGCAAAAGGGGGGCCCCCAGGGCCCCCCAGGGCCCCTGGGGGCCCCCCCCTTCTGCCTGGCTTAGATGATACTATAGGCGGAGGAGACCTGCAGCAGCAGCAGAAGCAGCAGCAGCAGCAGCAGCAGCAGCAGCAGCAGCAGTTGCAGCAGCTAATAAATTTAGTAAAGGAATGGGAGAAAGGAGAAGAGAAAATGAATTCGTTGATTTCTTTTTTGTCTTCTTCTCGATCAAACAAAAATAAAAATAAAAAAGAAAAAGATAAACAAAAAGAAGAAAAAGAAAAAGAAAAAGAAAAAGAAGAAAAAGAAAAAGATAAACAAAAAGAAAAAGAAAAAGATAAACAAAAAGAAAAAGAAAAAGAAAAAGAAAAAGAAAAAAAAGAAGAAGAAGAAGACGAAGAGGTGTTGCTGGTGGCTGGCGAAGAACTCAAAGAAATTCAAATCAAACAAAAAAAAATACAAACACAAATCCTTGTCCGTTGTCTTTGTCTTTGTTTTTTATTTTTTATTTTTTATTTTTGTTTATATTATTATATTTGTCTTTGTCTTTGTCTTTGTCTTTATTTTTTATTTTTTATTTTTGTTTATATTATTATATTTGTCTTTGTCTTTGTCTTTGTCTTCATTTTTTATTTTTTATTTTTGTGTATATTGTTATTTTTGTCTTTGTCTTTGTCTTTGTCTTTATTTTTTATGTTTTATTTTTGTTTATATTGTTATTTTTGTCTTTGTCTTTGTCTTTGTCTTTATTTTTTATTTTTTATTTTTGTTTATATTGCTATTTTTGTCTTTGTCTTTGTCTTTGTCTTTGCCTTTGTCTTTGTCTTTGTTTTTTATTTTCGTCTATACTTTTATTTTTGTCTTTGTCTTTGTCTTTGTCTTTGTTGGTTATTATTGTTTATATTATTACTTTTGTCTTTGTCTTTGTTTTTATTTTTTGTTTTTGTTTATATTATTATTTTTGTCTTTGTCTTTGTCTTTATTTTTATTTTTTGTTTTATATTATTATTTTTGTCTTTGTCTTTGTCTTTGTCTTTATTTTTTAATTTTGTTTATATTATTGTTTTTGTCTTTGTCCTTATTTTTTATTTTTGTTTATATTATTATGCTTGTCTTTGTCTCTATTTTTTATTTTTGTTTATATTATTACGCTTGTCTTTGTCTTCGTCTCTATTTTTTATTTTTATTTATATTATTATGCTTGTCTTTGTCTTTGTCTTTATTTTTTTATTTTTATTTATATTATTATCTTTATCTTCATATTTGCTGCTGCTTGTGCTGCTGCTGCTGCTGCTGCTGCTGCTGCTCAGACAGCAGCAAGTTTAGGGTTTGATGGTTTCGTTTCTGGTGATAATATTACTGCTGCTGTTGCTGCGTGTGCTGCTGCTGCTGCTGCTGCTGCTGCTGCTGCTGCTGCTGCTGCGTGTGCTTCTGCTTCTGCTGCTGCTGCTGCTTCTGCTGCTGCTGCTGCTGCTGCTGCTGCTGCTGCTCAGACAGCAGCAAGTTTAGGGTTTGGTGGTTTCGTTTCTGGTGATTATGCTACTGTTGAGGTTCGTGCTGCTGCTGGGGGGGAGGAGGCAGAGCTGTGGGCCCTTGACCTATACAAGGTAAACCCTAAACCCTAAACCCTAAACCCTAAACCCTAAACCCTAGATACGAAGGAGAGGCGTCAAGACCCTTGTCTTTACCTAAACCCTAAACCCTAAACCCTAAACCCTAGAGAGAGGCGGCGGTACTCCTGTCTCCTGCTATGCCCATGTATAACGCACTCAACACAACCTAAACCCTAAACCCTAAACCCTAAACCCTAAACCCTCGAAAAAGCCTTCATACAGCCCAGAGAGAGAGGGTTTAGGGTTTAGGGTTAATGTTGTTTCTCTTTTTTTTTTCTGTGTTATAATAAACCCTTCTGTCTGCAGCTGTATTTCTTCTCCTCTAATACTTGAGGGTTTAGGGTTTAGGGTTTAGGGTTTAGGGTTTAGGGTTTGTGTTTTGTGGTTTGTGTTGAAGATGTTATATTTATATTCTATACAGAGAGGATGGAGGGTACGGGAGAGGGGGCCCCTCACCATGGAGGTTAGGGGCCCCCAGTGTTTAGGGTTTTTGTTTTTAGAGTCTGGCGTGCATCGCGTGCAGCGTGTGCCCTCAACAGAAACACAAGTAAACCCTAAACCCTAAACCCTAAACCCTAAACCCTAGAAACCCTAAACCCTAATTTACACATAAAAAAATATGCCTCAAAGATCGAGGGTTTTTACGTTCATAGAAAAAAAAACAAACATTTATGCTGCTGGCAAAGGGTTTAGGGTTTAGGGTTTAGGGTTTAGGGTTTAGGGTTTAGGGTTTAGGGTGTTTGGGTTCAGGGGAGGATGCATACATCTACTGCTACGGTGGCCGTGCTGAGAGAGAAGGTAAAATAAATAAAATAAAAAAAAATAAATTAAATAAAATAAATTAAAAAAATAAAATAAAATGAAGTAAAATAAATAAAAAAAATAAAAAAAAAATATAATAAAACAAATGAAATGAAATTAAAATAAAATAAAATAAAATAAAATAAAATAAAATAAAATAAAATAAAATAAAATAAAATAAAATAAATTAAAAAAGTAAAATAAAATAAAATAAATAGACAGAGACAGAAATTGAGACAGCGAGATAGAGACAGAGAGAGCTTCATTAGTAGCAGCAGCAGCAACAGCAACAGCAACAGCAGCAGCAGCAGCGACAGCAACATCAGCAGCAACAGCAACAGCAGCAGCAGCAGCAGCAGCAGCAGCAGCAGCAGCAGCAGCAGCAGCACAGCCAACTGACGAAACCCCACCAAACACAAACAAAACCAAAACCAAAAACAACATATATATACACACACACA